CTTCGTTTAGTTTCTCCCCCACCCGGCCCGGAGTCCGAACGACGACGGCCAGTCCCCGGACGCGGGAAAGGTCCCTTGTGGGAACAGCCCCAGGCGTCTGCGCTCCCGACCCGGCCTGTTCCGTCACTCTCTCCTGAGCGGGGAATCACCAAAGCCTGGACAACACTGAGGAGAGCGGGAAAGGCGGGGTGGCGTTTTCTTTTCCACTCACTCCTTCAAAACGCGGCCCTGCCTAGATGTGGGCAGCAAGGTGCATCCACTTCATGTCCATCCATTCTAATGAAGGGTTTTCATTTTTTTCCTATTAAAAATTATGTTGGAATCTGAGTGAAACAATCGGTATTAAGAAGGTCAGTTCACACTCACCTTTTAAAAATCCTGCTAACAATAAAAAGATGCAGTCAGCCCTTAGGTCAGACACCATAAAGGTCAGAAGACGCTGGAGGAGGACTGATAATACAAAGATTTGTCTATTTAAAAAGTTGTGCTTTGCTCCCTCTCAGGATAGCTCTGTGCCTCCTACTGCAGGATGAAAATGCACAGGGCACAGAAAATGATAGATAATAACAGTTTAAAACTGAACTACAGCCTTTCATCAGAGATCAAAGCCATTTAAATACTTGAACAGAGATGAGGCCCTTAAGCCCGGATTCCAATTCTCTCTGAACTAATTCTAAATCCTAATTAACTATTGGTGTAGGGGGTTATTTGATCTCATTTAAAGTATTTTATTGCATCATGACACAAACTTGAAATCCAAACCCACTTTGTGAATGGTTCAAAGTCTATGAAGTGACTTTAGAATCATCCTGGTCTCATTTTCTCACATCCGAGGTCCAACCCATTAGTACATCCCAACAATTCCACCTTCAGAGTATATCCAGATTCCTCCCAGTTCCACTGCCACCATCCTGGTCCAAGGTACCTGGTCAATCTGCAGCTGGAGTGCTGTAACACCTTCCTCTCTGGTCTCCCTGCTTCTATTCTTGCCCCCCATGTACATGTCTCAGTACGGCAACTACGGTAATCCCAATAAGGCAGATCACACCACTTGCTCTCAGAAACCTTCCATGGCTCCTTAGAAAAGTCTCAAGGACTTCATCTCCTATGACTCTTCTAGCTCATCCTTCTCCACCTGCCCTAGCCTTGTTGCTCTTCCTTTAATGTGCCAAGCTCCCTTCCAGACCTTTCTCCTCCTCTACCTGAACTCTCTTCCCTATATATTTGCATGGTTCATTCCCTCGCCTTCTTCAGGTTTTACTCAAGTTCACCTATTGGTGAGATCTTTCCTAGCCACCCTGTTAAAAGTAGCAAGCTTCCTCCGTCCTCTGTCACTGCACTATTTATTCCATTCCCTTCTTTCTTTTCCATTATTCCATTTGTCACCACCGAATATGCAGTTTTATTTGCTTACTTATTATCTAACACACTGTCCAACTCCTCTGCCTCTCCATCAATGTGTGCTTTAAAGGGGTGAGGGCTTTGTTTTCCTCTCTGGTATATCCCAAGTGCTTAGAACAATCACTGGCACATGTAGGTAATCAATAAATACTTTGTGAATGAATGATGTAATGAAAAGATAAGCATTTTTGTCAATGTTAGAACATTTACTTTTGATAACATCCATATAACTTTCTCTAATGTCATACAGTGATTACATCTCCTCATGTCTAAGGTGAAATTATGAAATAATTTTTATAATTATTTAACAAGTAGAAATATAATCAGTGACAATTATTAATTAAAACACTCAGCAACCCAATTACCTTTTCTTATGTGTCATGATGAATTATCTCTTTCTTGTCATATCAAAAGCTTCAGTTATTCTCCACCACACACACCACAAAAGCTTCTTCATACAGAGTCAGTGCACATCACACCTGTGTGTGGACTCAGGCAAAAGGCTGCTATCTCCTCTTGCCCCACATCTGCTTAACCACCTTGCAGAATGCCCTTTCTGCTCCTCATTACTTAGTGAGCCCTGCAGTGGTGTGTAAGTTACCGCTCAATGACCACCTTCTAAAACCTTGCTTGACCACTTTAACATAAAAAGTAAAAGCACAATGTAGTCACTTTGGAAAGATGATTGGCAAATTCTCAAGCCAACTTAAAAGTGTCTACTTTTTAAAAAATGCAAGCAGAGAGGAACACAAGTGACAGCTGAAGGAAAAAAACACAAATTGGTATCTAATGTGGACTGACAAACTACAGTCATAAAAAAAAACCAAGTAATTCCATTTCACACCGAAATATCTAGTGTTTCAGAGAAGGAACACAATTCTAGCCATGATACCTTTTTGTCTTAAATATAAAAAAAAGCTTTACATTTATAGAAATATTTTTAAATTTGGGAAATAATTACTACTCAAAATTTTTAGGGATAAGACATTTCTGGTCAAATAACATGAAGTATATACACAAAGATAGTATGGCAAGCCCTTCTTGGCCTTCTACTTATGTAGTACTTTCTATGATTCACAAGAGGACCTCAATATTTAAGAATTAAATATGTAATATCAAATGTAAGAAACTGACAATTCAATGAATAGTGAAATTGAAGATACTGCATATCAAATAAAAATTTTAAAGAGTTAAGGAAGATTATTCCTGAGTAGACCTTCAACATTATTTTCTGAAGAATATTATGTTTACACAAATATATAAAAAAGGACTATTATTGAAAATAAGTTTAATTTTATGCAAGTAGTTTGACATTATTCCCTTTAAACAGGAGATCATACAAGTCGCATAAAAGTTTAAGCAGATAAAAGGAATGGAAAAGGTTTCATTTTAATTATTTTTTTAAAAAATTAAGGTTTTTTTTTAGTAATGTGCTGCTGTAAAGCAAGAATATACATTTCTGTGATACCCACAAAGAACATCACTGTAAAATTTGTCATCTATTTCCGTTACCCTCCTCTAATCATCATAAACAAAGACCTCAAGGATATTATATAATAGTGCCACATGAGAAGTAGAATTTATGAAAAAATTGACCCATGGCAGCTTTATTTATATTCATTTCACTCCTAAAAAAATAAAGTAGAATCATCTGGACATTACAAATAAAATTAAGGAACTAATGCTATTTGGGAAACAGAAACAACCTTTAAGAGCTTTTCTTTTTTCTTTTTTTAAAAATCTTTTTTAACCTAAATATATGAATTCAAAGTTAACTAGGAAACTGTGACACTTCTATTGGAATACACGATTTATATTTGCATTAGTATGTATTCTATTCCCTCTGTACACTTTTGCACAATAGCACAAAAATACAAAGTAAATACTCTATTTTGAACATATGAAAGCAAAAACATGTTTTCAAATACATTTTGACTAGTGGATTTCTGGTCCCCTTTAGAAAACAAACTCAATAATTCTTTATCCTGAGTCTCTTCAAGGTCACTTGCTGTTGTGTGGTAATATCTTTAATTACATTTCCTCAAGACTTCTTCTAATAGCTTCTTCTAATTCCACATCTGCATTAAAAAATATATAGAATTTTAATACTTAGGGCAAAAATTATTCAACATGTGCATTATGTAAGTTTCATCAACTATATTCATCTTTTTAAGAAGGAAAGGAAAATCAAGGTGGAAAAACTCAGGATAACTTGGCAGTCTATTAAAATTTGAGTATTCTGAAATATGACAGTCGAGATAGGATCGTGAATCAAATGTTAAATGTATATGAACTTAATGTATTAAGGAACCTGCAGGTTACTTCCATTTAGGGATGCAGAAAATCAACAAACTTTTAATCACTGACAGATAATCACTTGTTTCGACATTAAAACAAAACAAAACTATATCACTTATTTTCTAAAAGACTTAAGGTGATGCATATAAGACTTAAAAGAGAAACATAAAGGCAACACCATGAAATGGCAAAATTTCACAGGCTGTTAAAAATTTAGCTATTTTATTTGTCAATTATATCTCAAATCTGGGAATAAATTTAGCATTAAGCATCCTACCATCTAAGGCAAAGAGTAAAACCCATAGTTACACAAATGTCATCAGAGAAGCATATAATATATACCATATGTAGATGTATGCCCACTCATTTAACAAATCTTTATTGAATGCTCATTATATACTGGGGCAGCAAAATGAGACAGACATTATTGGGTTCACAGATCTTTTTCCAACTCTTTCCGGGAAATGCTGCTAAAATTCAGGAGGGTAATTCGGTGTCAATTTTGGGCCTTCACTAGCTTCTCACACCAGATTTACAACAATCGATCTGGTCCATAGTCTCTCAGTGCCTACTTTATAGGCACCAGCGATTCTCCTAAGATACAACTGCATCTTCCTCTGGGTGGGGGCACTGATGTAACATTGTCTGTAATTTAAAGTACCACAAACTAGTATAAACTATATTAAATTAAAGCTACATTCTAGGATCAGTGAGTTGCCCGAAGATGAATTCAAAGGGATGAGGAAATGCAAAGAAAAGCCAAGACACTCTTAACAAAGAAAAACAAGATGACCAGACTTGTCTAAGATTTGAAAACTTATTATAAAGTTACAGTAATTAACACTATGGTACTAGTGCCCAAAGGAACAGTAAGAGACAGCTCAGAAACAGACCCATGCATATATGGACAACTTGATTTATGACAAAGGTAGCACCACAGAATGGTGGGAAAAGTTGTGTTTTTTAATAAATGGTGGAAGGTCAACTGATAGACCATATGGAAAATAATATGAAATATTATCCATACCTTAAGGAATACACAAAAATAAGTTTCAGATATACTATATATCTAATTGTGAAAGTCTAAACAAATATGCTTCTGGAAGACAATAAAAGGGAATGTTTTTATAATCTTAATATAGGAAAAAATTTACTAAACAGGATTCAAAAACACTACAGAAAAGAATGGCAAACTGGACTGAACTGAAGTTACTTTTTCCATCAAAAGGCACTATCCAATGACCAAAAAGGCAGTCACAGAGTGGAAAAAAAATCTGCAAGCCGGGCTCAGTGGCTAGGCCTGTAATCCCGCGCCTTGGGAGGCTGAGGTGGGTGGATTGCCTGTGCCCGCGGGTTCGAGACCCGCCTGAGCAACTTGGTGAGACCTCATCTCTACAATTAAAAAAAAAAAAAAAAATTAGCCAGGCACTAATGTGGTAGCGCACGCCTGTAGTTCCAGCTACTTGGAAGGCTGAGGTGGAAGGATTGCCGGAGCCCAGCCGGTCGAGGCTGCAGTGACCGGGAGCGGCCACTGCACTCCAGTCTAGGCGACAGAGTGAGACTCCAACTCAAAAAAAAAAAAAATCTGCAATACATTGTACCCAGAAAAACCTAACAGAGTTTCAACCCAGAAAAACAAAAGATAACTCAATAGAAAAATGTAAAAGTCATACACAAAAGATTATGCTTAAATAGCCAATAAACATTACTCATCAGAAAAAATGTAAATTACTAGATTTTACATGTCTAGCCTTTAGAACTGTGAGACAATAAAACCACAAAGAAAAGCATTTTAATCAGAGTAGCTAACATTTAAAAAGACTGAGTGATTTCAATAATTAGTGAGGATGTGGATCAATGGGAACTCATATACACTACTGAAATGAAAGAAATTGGCACAACTACTTTGGAAAAATAGTTTGGTACTATCTACTCAAGTTAAACATAAGCAATTCCACTCCTAAGTATATATTCCCAGAATTAAGGACACACATGCAGCAAGAGACATGTACAAGAATGTTCACAGTAGAACTTACTAGTAACAACCAAAAAATACAAGCAAATCAAATGTCTATAAGTAACAGAATAAGTGAATTATGGTAAATACACAGAATAGACTATTATTTGGTGATGGAAATAACAAACCAAAGCTACATGCTAAAACACGGATGAATCTCTAAAGTAATGTTAATTGAGGGAAACCAGACACAAAAGAATAAAGCACACACCTGTGTTGTCCAATATGATGGACTCTTGACTATATGTAATTATTTATATTTAAATTAAATAAAATTTAAAATTCAGATCCTCAAGTCACATTTCAAGTGCTCAAAAGCCATATGTGATCAGTGGCAACCCTAGGACAGTGCAAATGTAGGACATTTTCATTACCACAGAAAGTTCTACTGGACAGTGATGGTTTATACAAGCCCATTTAGATAATGTTCAAAATCAAGTACTAGTAAACTACAGTGTTTCATGTCACAACAGTAGTTACTAACCTGTGGAAAGGGCAGGGGAAGTAATTGGAATGAGGCACAAGAGGGATACATCTAGGCTACTGGCTTTTATGGGTTGAATTGCGTCCCCCACAAAAGATACGCCCTAACTCCTGGTATCTGTGAATGTGACCTAATTTAGAAATAAGGCCTTTGGAAGTATAATCAAGGTAAGATGAGGTAATTAGGATGAGCTTTAACCTAATATGACTGGTGTCCTTATAAGAAGAGGAAAACTCCATGTGAAGACAGACACACAGGGAGTAGAGGGCCACATGAACATGGAGGAAGAGATTAGAGTGATACATCTACACATCAAAGAATGCCTGGAATCAACAGTAACTACCAGAAGCTAGGAGAGGAAGCATGGCCCTGTCAACGGCTTGATTTTACATGTCTAGCCTTTAGAACTGTGAGACAATAAATTTCTATTGTTTTAAGCCACCCAGTTTATAATACTTTACTATGGTAGACCTAGGAGACTAATACATTGGTGGTGATCTATTTTTCAACCTGAGAGGTGGCTACCTATTATGTGTGATGTTTTGTACGTTTTTGTGTGTGCATTATACTATACACACATATACACAGAGATCAAAATATTGGAGAATATTAGCATGTAAGTCTGGGAAAGGACCAGAAGTTCTTACTGTTCCAAAGAGGTGGACAAAATGTAGGTATGTTTTGACCTTTAAGTTTAATACACACACACACACACACACACACACACACACACACACACACACACACACACACGTGAGTGGTAAAATTCCAAGATAATCACAAAATAATATAAATAAAGTATATAACTTACAGATTAATTTTTTTAAAAAAGACAAAGCTAAGGATGAAACAGCAGAAACAAATACAGATGCTCCTTGACTTATGATGAGGTACATTCTGGTAAATCCATTGTAGGCTTACAATACTGTAAGTCAGGCCAAGCACGGTGGCTCATGACTGTAATCACAGCACCTTGGGAGGTCAAAGTGGAAGGATCATTTGAAACCGGTTCAAGACCAGCCTACACAGCATAGCAAGGCCTCATCTCTACAAAAAATAAAAAAAATTAGCAGGGCGTGGTGGCATATGCCTGTAGCCCCAGCTACTCAGGAGGCTGAGGAGGAGGAGTGCCTGAGTCTGGGAGTTTGAGGCTGCAGTGAGCCATGACTGTGCCACTGCATTCCAGCCTGGGCAACAGAGTGAGACCTCAACTCCTATATATATATATATATATATATATATATATATATATATATATATATAGTCAAAAATGCATTTAATACACCTAACCTACCAAGCATCATAGTTTAGCCTGGCCTATCTGAAATGTGCTTAGAACACTTACATTAACCTATAGTTGGGCAAAATAATTGAACACAAAGTCAATTTTATAATAAAGTTATCAAGAAACTGAATCAAAATTCAGAGTTCAAATTACATTTTATACTGCATACATATTACTTTTACACCACTGTAAAGTTGAAAAATCAAAAGTGAAATGTGCCAAGTGTGGTGGCTCACACCTGTAATCCCCACACTTTTGGAAGGCCGAGGCAGACAGATTGCTTGAGCCCAGGAGTTTGAGATCAGAGTGTACAACACTGTAAAACCTTGTCTCTACAAAAAATAAAAAAATTAGCCAGGCATGATGGCACATGCCTGTAGTCTTAGCTACTCAGGATGCTGAAGTGGAAAGATCATCTGAGTCCAGGATGTTGAGGCTGCCGTGAGCCATGATTGTCGTGATCATGCCATTGCATTCTAGCCTGGGTGAAAAGTCAAACCATCATTAAGTAGGGAGTAGGGACCAGCTATACAAATATATCAATATCTATAGTGAGCTTATATGAATTAAAGCTGCCAGTTAAAAGAATGGATAAAAAATAGAAACCAATGGTAGTTGTGTGCCATATAACAACATTTTGGTCAACAACAGACTGCAAAAGCAACAGTGGTCCCATAAGATTATGGTGGATCTGAAAAATTCCTATTGCCTCGTTATTGCATAGCCCTCTTGATGCTGCAGCATACCACGTTATGTATGTGTTTGTGCCGATGCTGGTATTAACAAGCCTACTCTGCTGCCATTCAGATAAAAGTATACATATGCAATTATGCACAGTATATAACACTTAATAATAATAGACTATAATACTGGTTTATATATTTACTATACTATACTTTTTATCATTATCTTAGAGTGTACTTCTACTTATTTAAAAAAAGTTAACTGTAAAACAGCCTCAGGCAGGTCCTTCAGAAGATATTCCAGAAGAAGGACATTGTTACCATAAAAGATGACAGCTTCATGAATGTTACAGACTCTGAAGACCTTCCAGTAAGACAAGATGTGGCCAGGCGTGGTGGCTCACACCTATAATCCCAGCACTTTGGGAGACCGAGGTAGGTAGATTGCTTGAGCCCAAGAGCTTGAGACAAGATGTAGAGGTAGATGACAGTGATATTTATGATCCTGACCCTGTGTAGGCATAGGCTAATATGTGTGTTTGTGTCTTTGTTTTTAACAAAGGTGTTTAAAAAGTAATAAAAATATTTTTAAAACAAAAAGTCTTATAGAATAAAGATATAAAGACAATATTTCTGTACAGCTATACAATGTGTTTATGTTTTAAGCTAAATGTTATTACACAGTCAAAAAGTTAAAAAACACAGTTTATAATGTAAATGTTACAGTAAACTAAGGTTAATTTATCACTTAAGAAATTAAAAAAAAATTTTTTTTAATGTAGTCTAATCTAAGGGTACAATGTGTATAAAGTCTAGAGTAGTATACAGTAATATCTTAGGCCTTCACATTCACTCACTCAGCTACCAGTCCTGCAAGCTCCATTCAGGGAAAGTATCTATACAGATGTACCTTTTTAAAAAATCTTTTATACCATATTTTTACCCTTTTTTTTTTAGTCAGGGTTTTACTTTGCCACTAAAGGTGGAGTGCGGTGGCATGATCACAGCTCACTGCAGCCTCAAACTCCCAGGCTCAAGCTATCCTCCTGCCTCAGCCTCCTAAGTAGCTGGGGACTACAGGTACACACACCATGCCTGGCTAATTTTTTTATTTTTTTGTAGAGACAGGGTCTTACATAGAATCTAAGGGGCCTGCAGGACACCATCAAGTGGAATAACATAAGTTATAGATGTCTAGGACGAGAAAGAATGTTTAAAGAAATAGGTTAAAAAAGTCCCAATTTGATGAAAGTGCATCTATATATCCAAGAAGTTCAATGAACTCTAAAGAGGATAAACTTAAAGTATATTATAGCCAAACCATCAAAAGCTAAAGACAATGAAAGTAATGGAGAAGCAACTCATCACATACAAAAGATTCTTAATAAGATAATGGTTGATTTCCCATTTTTAAAAAATGGAGTTCAGAAGGAAAAAAACAACTGTCAATGAAGAATTTCATGTGTGGCAAAACTATTATCAAAGAATGAAGACATTAAGACATTCTCAGATAACAAAAGGTACAGAATTTCTTTACTAGTAGACCTGCTAACAGGAATCCTTCAGGCAAAAATTAAAGGACATCAGATAGTAGCTCAAAGCCATATGAAGAAATAAAAAGCACTTGTAAAGGTTTGTCTTTGCTTTTCTATTCTGTGGCTAGGTCTATGTTCTTCTTACTCTCCTTTCTGCTTTAATTTCACTCTCCTTGACAGCAGTAACTATGGCAGAATAAAAAAGAATCCAGTAGTAGGAATCAGAAAACTTATTTACAAATTGTACCCCAGTCATTTTCAAGTTGTGAACCTGAGGTTAAATTACATAATGTTTAGAAGCCTCTGTTTTTATATAAAATGAAGAAACTATTCTGACTCTCATAAGTTGTTAAGATTAAGAACAGGCCGGGCTCAGTAGCTCAGCCTGTAATCCCAGCGCTTTGGGAGGCCGAGGTGAGTGGATTGCCTGAGTCCGCGGGTTTGAGACTCGCCTGGGCAACTTGGCGAGACCTCATCTCTACAATAAATCAAAAATTAGCCAGGCGTGGTAGCGCACGCCTGTATTTCCGGCTACTTGGAAGGCTGAGGCAGAAGGACCACCAGAGCCCAGCAGGCTGAGCTGCGGTGGCCGGGAGCGTGCCACTGCACTCCAGTCTGGGCGACAGAGTGAGACTCCAACTCAAAAAAAAAAAAAGATTAAGAACAGTTTTGAATGTAGTAATACTTTGTTCATAAATATTAAGTGAATTTTAAAACTGAACACTCTAGTCTCTCTTAGCCTTTCTTGTTCTTTAAACTGGCCACAATATAGAATTTTAGTATTTATGTTATACTAAAATATTAATAAAATCTAGATGACTACTATTAATTGAAGAAACTCTAAAAGTAAAGCAAATTACTAACATTTATAGAAAGATGGTTTTACATGGGTAATCATATATATAATGCTGTCCTCTGTTTTCCAAAGATGGGAAAATTTAGTAAGCATATCTCCAGAATGGACCTTAGATAAAGGTAAAAGTGACTAATGATATAATGATTATCATAATCCTAATTACAGCAGGAGCAACCAACATATATACTCCTTATTATGTGCCATGTTATTCTAATAAGGTAGGTTCATTTTTAAAATTAGGAAACTGCCAGGCTCGGTGGCTCAGCCTGTAATCCCGCGCCTTTGGGAGGCTGAAGTGAGTGGATTGCCTGAGCCCACGGGTTCGAGACCCACCTGGGCAGCGAGACCTCATCTCTACAATAAATCAAAAAAATTAGCCAGGCGTGGTAGCACGTGCCTGTAATTCCGGCTACTTGGAAGGCTGAGGTGGGAGGATCGCCAGAGCCCAGCAGGTCGAGGCTGCGGTGGCCGGGAGCAGCCACTGCACTCCAGTCTGGGTGACAGAGTGAGACTCCAACTCAAAAAAAATAAAATAAAATAAAATAAATTAGGAAACTGAAGCACAGTGAAGTTAAGTGACTTGTCCAATATTATACAACACGTATACATCAGAGTGAGTTTTAACTCAGGCAGTCTGAATCCAAAGTCTGTACTCCTCACCACCACATTATGTGCCCTTTATTTCCCCTATCAAGTACACAAAATAGACTGTATAGGAATGTTATGATTGGCATGAGTTGTTAGAGTCCGATACTAGTCTATGAAGAATAACAAAGAATAAGACAAATCATGGGGGGGACAGGTTGTCCTCCTCTAAAGCAAAAAGCTACAAGCAAACTTATCCTGCCTTTTGCCACCATTTGTCAGACATTTACAGTTGTATTGGGAAAGGAAGGAATGAGAAGAGACTTGAGAGACTCTTTACACTTTTTTGAGTTTTGCTGTCAGGTCTGGACTAGAACATTATTTTGCTCCCGTGGCACAGGGTCAACAGCATAACCCAACATCTTATCTGTCTTTTATCCAGTATAGGGAAATAGGTTCTGGTGGCTCTAACATGTTTTAAGTTTGTTATACATTTCATGCCAAACACTGGGTTAAGTGCTGTGGAAGTAAAGATAAATAAAGCATTATTTATATAATTAGAACATTATATCCCTATGACTATTTTAACTATAAGAACAAGTTTAAAGTATCTTTTCTTGAATCCTTTAGAGTAATTTTTTTTCCAAAGTAATGAATCAGAAAATGTAAAAGCTCAATCTCCAAACCATAAATTGCATTACATAGATTTAAAAAAAAGTTAGAGGTTCTGGTCCTCACCTAGTTAACACGTATCTCAGATTTCCTAGGTTAGCTAGGCACCCGCAAAACTTTGAAGGCTTCCAAATGTGGTTATTTAAAAGTTATAATTTTGCCTGGTATTTTCCATGGGATTAGTCATGGGGTGGTAAATAAAGGCTGCAAAATCTGAACTCCTTAGATGTTCATTGGGGTTTATCTTTTTAGTGGCCTTGATAAACAACTTAGCTGGCAGGTTTTGTTTAAAACCCACAAAATTCTTTCATTTGTTTAATTCACTGAGCTAGACCTTGAAAGACTATGTTGGGAAAACAAGTTGGCCAAAAAACTTGCTTCCAATTAGGCTGCAGATTTACTGCCAACTTTGTTTAACCAATGGATTTTGGCTATAAGAGAGAAAGATTAGATTAGAAAGAAAGATTAAAAGAAAGATTAGATTCATCAAATGAATTCTACTGACAGACTAAAAATTCCCAATTTCCTAATAGGACAAAGCTCTAGTATTCTCTTAGTCAAACTAATTACATTACATGACATCAACCAAATGAACAAAACAAAATAAAAAAATCAACAGGGCCACTGTGTTTTTGTGTGTCCAGCTGCATTTCCACCCCTACTATCCTGCCACCACATTCCTACCCTAAAAATCTCCAACAATACTGAATTGAAATATACATGAAGACTCTTAGCGTTTTCCTTTAATGTCAAACAAAGATACTGTATAAAATTTTCAACTTCTCCAGGGAAGCTCAAAGTATCTTCTAAGATCCAGTATCTCATTTCCCCTCCCTTGGTTATTAAAAAGTATAATCTATTATGGAAAAACCAAAGTAAAAAAATGGCTACATGATACAACCACATAGTGGTACAGCCAAGAAATGATCTGATGCCAAGTGACACAAGTTCTCTTTAATCTATGGAAGGAAACAGCTTTTCTTTTACGAAGAAGGAGAAAGAATTTTAATTTACAGAAACAATCCATTAATGTTTAGATATAAATGCTTGCTTCTGAAGTTCCACTGCAAATATGTTAAACTCTTCATTTAATACTATTCAAGATAAACTAAAATTAGGCAAGCAAAATCATATCCTAGCCCAGGGGTTAGCAATCTTTTTCTTTAAAGAGTTAGAAAGTAATTATTTGTTTTTTGGGGGGGGTTGCTGTACTGTCTGTGTCACACCTACTCAACCTTGCTGTTGTAGTACAAAAGCAAAAGCCCAGAAAAAACTTAAAACAAGAGTGTGGCTGTGTTCCTAAAACTTTATTTATAAAACCAGGTGGTGGACTGGGTTTGGCTCACAGCTGACCCTTTAACCATAATTGGATGACCCCCATTCTGGCCTTCTAAACTAATATTACCCTACATCACCTAACATGAGAAAATGCAAGATATCCTCCAAACGAAGACACTTTTCTTTTAAAACTTAGGAGTAGAAGAAGGTGAGAGGGGTGAACGGGTGAGAGAGGGAGCAAAAAAAAAAATACACAGTCAAATAGAGAAGAGATTAACTCTATTAGCTTACCTTCTGTGGATCTGAATTCTTCTACTGAAGTACTTTTTGAACTCATGTTATCATCACTGTCACATTCTGTAAGAAGAATTGTATTTCTGAAAAATTACTGTGCCATAATTTATGTATTATCAAACAATATTATTTTCAATGACTTTTCTCATACCCAAGCTTACTACCCATTAGGCTGCTGTTTTTTTGCAAATGCTTACCAAATAATATTAAACATGGTGACAGATTAAATTCTCTAGTATCTTAAAAATCATATACATTCATTTCTATAGAGGTAACACGATAGGTTTTAATTAATACCTCTTGCACAGCACAAACGTACTGACCTGATGTCTTTTTTTTTTTTTTTTCTTTTCTGAGTTGGAGTTCACTCTGTCGCCCAGACTAGAGTGCAGTGGCCGCTCCTGGCCACCGCAGCCTCGACCTTTTGGGCTCCGGCGATCCTTCCGTCTGAGCCTTCCAAGTAGCTGGAACTACAGGCACGTGCTACCACGCCCGGCTAATTTTTTTATTTTTATCGTAGAGATGAGGTTTCGCCAAGTTGCCCAGGCGGGTCTTGAACCCGCGGGCTCGGGCAATCTACTCACCTCAGTCTCCCAAAGGCGCGGGATTACAGGCTGAGCCACCGAGCCCGGCATGATCTGATGTCTTATATGCTTTCATAATGAGACTGAAGGCTTTATATTATAATATGACAAGGCTGACTAGGTATTGCAAAAGTCACTTAAGATCTGAACCATGGAGCCTAAGGAGATGCAACAACTAAATGTCACACAGACTCCTAGATGAGGTTCTGGGGCAGTAAAAGAATATTAGGGGAAACCTAAAATAACCCAAATAAAGTTTGGACTTTAATTAGTAAAAATGTCAATACTGGTACATTAATTATGACAAATTTATCACACTAAGATAAGATGTTAACAGGTGAGACTCAGTGTGGAGTGCTCGCTGTACTACCTTCACACCTTTTCTGTAAATCTAAAACTGTGCTGAAAAATGAAATTTATCTTAAAATAAATTTGAAACATGGTATTATCAGTGACCTAATATTTGCCTTATCACTTTAACTACATTTAAATCAGTATATAACTACACAGTTATACATAGATAAGCATCTATAACTATGTCATAGTGACTGAATAAGCATTTAAGTAACTGAACACAAATCACATGGGCATATTTGCTTCTTTACAAACGTGCAAACAAAATATACATTAAAAATTAAAAGGCCGGGCATGGTGGCTCATGCTTATAATCCCAGCACTTTGGGAGGCCAAGGTGAGAAGACTGTTTGAGCTCGTGCGTTCAAGAACAGCTTGGGCAACTTGGTAAGACCTCATCTCTACAATAAATCAAAAAATTAGCTGGGCGTGGTGGCGCATGCCTGTAGTTCCAAACACCCAGCAGGGCAAGGTTGTGGTGGCCATGAGCGTGTCACTGCACTCCAGCCTGGGCAACAGAGTGAGACTCCCACTCAAAAAAAAAAAAAAAAAAATTAAAGACTTATAATTGTCTATAATCAAAACATTAAATCACTGTATTTTACTAGATTCCTTTCCTGCAGAAATTTGTTGTTATAAGTCATGCTTTGCCATTCTTTCCAGCAAAATGCTTCAACTATTTCAAGCAACGTTTTTAGGGAAATAAAACATTACATTTACAGTCTGAGGAACAAAGCAAAACCTCTAAACATTAAGAAAAAGATAAAATACCCAGGGGTTTCTATTATTGCAATTTAAAGTCAAGGTCAGTCAAAACCAATATTTCATAAGTGATCTTGCATGCAAGACCTAAGGCAAAACTGTAGGTTTGAATGAAAAGGATTAGCCTGACACTGGGTTGCAAATATTATAAAAGGGTTCTTTTGCCTCAATCAACTCCATCTGTAGAAAAGAGAAAATCATGAATTTTTTTTTCTATTTTTGGTACCTTTACACAGAATTAATTTTATTAAATAGATTTTCAGAATGGTGCCCAAAGAAACAATCTACAGTCTCATTACCAGGCTGAGAAAACAACAGACACATAGATTTTAGAATTCAACAATTATGCAATGCCTGTTCCACCAGTCATGATCCTGCTTCACTCACATACACTTTCACAGCATGCGTGAATTTTATGTTCAATTTATATGATGGCTTTTAAAATCTAACCGGTATGATTCTATAGAAATCAACTATACTTAATGCCTCTAACCCATTCATCCAAAATGAAGCCACACCCAATAATAAAAGTCTTAGGTTTACAAACTAAACCATCTAAGAAGAGTGTTCAGATTCGACAAAAATTGTCTTGTGGTAAAATATTTTTCATTATATGTAATTCCCAAGAGAATAAGAAAAACAAATAAGAAAAACATTGTAAATATTAACTTTTATTTATTTATTTGCTTATTTATTTGCGTTGGGGGGTCTCACTCTGTTACCCTGTTTGGAGTGCAGTGGCAAGACCACAGCTCACTGCAGCCTCAACTTCCTGGGATCGGATGATCCTTCTGCCACAGCCTTCTGAGTAACTGGGACTGCAGATGTGTGCCACCACACCTAATTTTTTTGTTTTCTGTAGAGTCTGGGTCACGCTACATTGCCCGGGCTGGTCTCAAATTCCTGGGCTTAATTAATCATTCTGTTTCAGCCTCCCAAAGTACCGGGATTATAGGTGCAAGCCACTGCGCATGGTCAGATACTAACTTCTATGTACTCTGAACACTAAGTAGAGGAAAGGTGGAGGAAGTGTTGGGAGGGAGTTTCTTGTGAATTTCTTAGAAATTGCACATTGCAGTATTCACATAAGCTCACCACAGCGCTTGTAGTTCTTGTGCCAACATCTTGAGGTCAGGCACCTCTAAAGATGGTGCTGCATATAGGCTTAATTACGAGACAAAAGAGTATAAGGAAATAAAAATGGTAATCACTTTCTTTGGCTATGTTCAGTATATATTCAGTATATATCCAACTCAAAATATATCCAACTCAAAAAGTTGGAGTCTCACTCTGTCGCCCAGACTGGAGTGCAGTGGCAACTCCCGGCCACCGCAGCCTCGACCTGCTGGGCTCCGGCGATCCTTCCACCTCAGCCCTCCAAGTAGCTGGAACTACAGGCGCACGCTATCACGCCCGGCTAATTTTTTTGGTTTATTGTAGAGATGAAATCTCGCCAAGTTGCCCAGGTGGGTCTCGAGCCTGTGGGTTCAGGCAATCCACTCACCTCGGCCTCCCAAAGTGCTGGGATTACAGGCTGAGCCACTGAGCCCGGTCTCACCTTACTTTTTAAAGCACCAGAACTCACAACCAAATCTTTGTATCTTCTGACAAAAAAAAAAAAGTATCCTCCTGGATGTTATTTTTTAAAATAACCCTCGTATTTGATATCTTTATATAAACCCTGTAATATCCTAGGACTGCAGCAGAACATATCTCATTATCTTCATTTTTCAAGGATATGGTTAGAGTTAGTAATCCACACTGTGTAGTTATCTCTACGTTATGAAATCAGTTATTTATGTCAGTGAATGTCTTACCCTTAGCAGTTGATACTGACGAAAAGAAAAGCACTAACTGTGTGGCCACAGGTAAGTTATTTAACCCTTCTGGACTTCTGCTTCCTTCCTCACCTATAAAGTAGAGGTAATCTAACAAATTGTACTTCATAATGTGCAAAGAGGATTAAGAAGCATGTGGAAGAAGTTCTTTAAACATATTTAAACAATACAAATATAAAAAGCAGCTAGCATGGTGGCTGACACATAAAAGGTCCTTAGTAACGGCCAGTTCACCTTTCTTTTTTTTTAAACTGAATATTTAAGTGAAAAGTTATGTCTGCATCTTTGAAAAATAAGGTTTAAGTTAGAATAAAGACATATTTGGGAATAAAATGTAAAAGGTATAAGAGAGAAAGTCTACCTGACTCCTCCTATTAGAATTACTAAAAAAGGATCCATGTGTCTTGTTAAGTTTTAAGAACCTGAGGATAAATGCAACACAAAATAGAACTGACACAGGAAATTGGGGAGGAGGAGGCAATTAGAGATAGGTTAATAGATTTTGGAAAAAATGTCTCTACAAGAATTTATACATATATCATACCTGTAATTGAAACAATAGTGAAACCCTGACGTTTAGAAGGAGACAGAATTATCAGGGCAAAAACCATGACACATTCAAATTTCAATCTTAATTTAAAGGCTCACCTTACTACAAGGAGTAACTAATTTATCTTAACTAAGCAAGTCAGAGACCTAAAAAAGTAGCAGTGGTAAAGCTATTTAATCTTGCTCCTACCCTCTAAACAAAAATGTATGCCTTAAGGCCAAATGTCTGGACATTGATATACAGGACGAGTAACTCCAAATATCTCTACTTTTACTGAGATCAGTAACTCCTGAAAGATTTTGAATTAACTAAGAAATTAGCAAGGGCTAAATTTTCCAAGTATGAAATACCATATGACCAATTCTGATTTCACTATTCAAGAGATTCTTCTTGTTTACACAGGCATCTCCAGTCTAATAAAAACCTATTGCTGGTCTTGGTAATGGCAAATTTCTGAAAAGTTATAAATAAAAGACTCTTCTATCAAAGGTCCAGTCACTCCTGTCACAAAACCATCCTGCCTTAAATAACTGTCGAATCTGAAGACAAGAAGGAACACCATGCTAAGCTATATGCAAGGAGTGAACCTGGCATTGCTGTAGTAACCAAAATTATCTAAAGACCTAATAGGAATTATATTATTAGTTGACATTGAGAGATTTTCTGAAACTATTACTCTACTATTCACAAAGCCATTTGTTAGGAAAGAATATGGAATAAAGAGTTATCCAAGAAAGTGATTTTTTCTTTGATTCTTTATAAAGTTCACTACCAGGCAATTTGATGCTTTTAAGTCTTCTAAGAAGAAAAAATTTGGTTTTAAATCTGATAACTAAATCTGAACATACCATGATTTTGTATAACTATTTTTGAATTTTAGAGTTACAAAAGCATTACATAATTTATTAGGTCCTTAAATCTAGATCAAAATCTCTTGATTTAAACACTCTATGCTTTGGTCACTTTATTTAAGCTACTTTCATTGCTTTAAAAATGTGATGGCTAGGAATCATATTTTTACGGCAGCAATAATAAAAATAGCTATTTATTCAGCACCTAAAGTACTTCATATACTGTGTCAGACACTATATACATCCTAATTCTTATACTCTTACAGATACGAAAAATTAGGCTCAGAAAAAGCTAAATAACTTGTCTGAAATCACACAGCTAGGAAGCAGCAAAGTTAGCATTCCAACCAAAGCCCATGCCCTTCTCCATCCACTGCACAATCTCTACATTTCAAAAAATTCAGAATAATGTACACATGAGCCTTCAAAGAGTCATAAGTTCAAATGACTACTGAATATGAATGAATGAGTAAAAACAATATAATACCTAGAGCATAACAGGCATTTGGAAGGGCATTATCATCAAATATTAATAACCTGAATCTTACCTCCAACCCTAATATACCCCATGCAGACCTACTCATATGCAGCTCTGATTCCAAACAGAATTAAAATAGAGACAAAGCCATAACAGGTTTCATATTCTAAATTGTGAAAGAAATGTTCCCAAAAGCAGTAGCATAAGAGAAGGAAAAGAAGTTTGGTCTAATGTGGAAAAGGACACATTTTAAGTATTTTACAAAATATTAAGTAGATACTGTTGGGGACTGGGGAAGCAATGACAAAAGAGTAGAAGAAAACAGGTGTGTGTGTGTGTGTGTGTGTGTGTGTGTGTGTGTGTGTGTGTGTGTGTGTGTGTGTGTTTTAAAGAAGCCAAAAACAGAAAAAGTGAATAAAAAACAGGTGTGTGTGTGTGTGTGTGTGTGTGTGTGTGTGTGTGTGTGTGTGTGTGTGTGTTAAGGAAGGCAAAAACAGAAAAAGAAGTGAATAAAACCAAAAATTACTGAATAGGAAGACAACATTCAATTCTAAAGTATGACATAAAGATGTAACAGAATTCATTTTCCTTTATAATCTTCTATCATGACTGCTTTACTGAGCACCATTTAAAGAGCACAAATAATTGTTTCCTAGCTCGGCAGAAATAAATTGATCCATATAATTAGAGATTCGGCAAAATTCTTCAGTACGGGTTTTCAATTAAAATGTGCTTCCAAATATATAAAAAGAAAAAAATATCTGGGAGGTAGCAGAGTTGGAAATTTAAAGGCACACAATAAAAACACCAAAAATTAGCTTCTGCTTTTCATTGAGTTCATTCATTAATGTGTTCAAATCTTATTCATGAGTTTAAATTATTAGGACACTTAAAATTAACTATTCTTTTATTCCTACCCATATTTCAGAAATTATGAAAAAAAAACCCAAAAAACTTCTGAATCCCTAGAATTACATTCTTTCTTAAATACTGAGAAGTGAAAGTGGACATTAGCTTTCACTGAACAATCTCACAAAGGGAAAGAGCGTACAAGTTCCAGCAATAAGACAGGAGGTACCCACCCCTTCTCCAAAGCCCTGAAGTATTATCAGGGTTTCATTTTGTCACTGTCAACCTCTTAAATGATCATTTTTCTTCCACTTGTATTACTGTATTACTATTTGTTGCTTTCTGGTTTTCACCTATAAGCACAGTGCTTTCTAAAAAAACTGAAAGTAAATTCGGAATTTCAAAAACAAAGTGAAGATCTGAATTCTGAGATTTCAAAATCATGGTATTATATTGCAACCCATGATATATATATTTTATATTCAGGAATATAGATTTTTATCTACTAGATAAAAAAAAAGGGGTTCCAGAAAATTATTATGACTTAATTCTCCTTCTTAAACACTAAAGAATGAAAGTGAGATAAGGAAAAGATAAGTAAGACAGAAGTATGACATCATGACGGTTTAGTGAGCAGGCAACAGTATATTAGTGGACAGCAGTTTATTGGTTTTTCTCAGCAGTGAAGTCTCCTCCTCTTGGGCGATTTGTGCTGTGTCTGCAGCTGCATACCTTTGGTGGTATCAGATATGCTATTTAACAAGGCACACATCATATCTCCCTCTAAATGGTGAGGATTTAGTATATGAGCTGGCCTCTGAGTCTTCTTAAATTGATTCTCTAGCTCCAGAAAACCTTGATCTCCTGAGAGGATGGTGAAAGGAATTTGCTTGGGGAGTTGTTCATCTAGACGGCCAGCCTAAGTTAGAACAAATGGCATAGATTGATAAAAAAATCAGCATGAGTTTCAAATCAAGTTACATCTGTTTCACAATGAACACATACCTAAGAAGGTATATATTACCTTAGTCCCTACCAAAGTTTGATATACGATCTCCTTTATAAATAAAATATGCCACATTTAATCAAATATAAGATGCCATCAATTTATATAAGCTTTATATGTCATGAAGGGAAAAGAAAGCCAAAATGAAAAACCAATAGGAAGACCCTATGTAAAGCTGGACCACCAAAGGGCTAGACACTCAATATAAATAAAACTGCCATAGAGAAAAAGGTGAGCAAGGTAATTTGCATGATTCAATCTTGGCACTGAATAGAGGGAAAAAGAAATCTCTTGTGGTTTAAACCATAAGCAACAGTTGACAAGTTTGCAGAGTAAATTCACATTATCAGTGTGACACATAAGCCCTCAAGCAGAGAATTTAATTTAAGGTGGGTCTCAGGTTGGCAGTTTCTCTAGGTAATTGGCAGAGGCAGAAGCAAATGCAAATTCTACCTAGGCCTACAGGTATTGTTAAGGTGCCTCTCAATTTCAAAGACGTTTAAAAGTGAAAATGTCTTCACATATCAAATACAGTATCATCTCTTGATCATTTTATCCCATAAATAATTGTGAGTCTACTAAGGATAGCTGGGGGTCTACTAGAAGTTGGGGGAAAAGAATAGATAAATTTATACACTACGGGCTCCTGCTGTTATAGTACTCATAAGATTGCAGAAGATAGTCTATAAAAAAAAGTACTGGAAAATGATTTATACACTCTCATTACAAATCAAGTGGAAAAAAAATCCAAGTGGGTCCTAGATTCACATTTGATTTTAAATAAAACAATGACTTACATGCATACATATGGCAAAATCAGCAGCATCTTTTCTTTTACTACAGCGAGGATGAAGGAAGAAGCATCCAATCCTGTTCAGGTAATTATAAATCTTACAGTTGAGTGGAGGCTTCCAATTGGTATTTCCTCCTATTAATTTTAGAAAAGGCATACATGTTGAAGTCAAATGGGGAGGAAAAGACTGAAAATTGTATCAAGGAAAATCACATACTAGAAAAAAGGTTTTCTGAGGGAAAATACTAGATTAGAATGTGGGAGAACTCAGTCTTAGTGTAAGCATCGCCGTCTTGTTGCTTTACAGTCTTGGGAAAGTAGACCAACTTCCCTGAATCTGCCAATTCATCTGAAAATTCACAGGAATGTTAAGCAAAATCAGAAGTAATATGTGTGAAAATTATTGTAATGGTATTAGTCTAAGTAAATGTGAGCATTAGTGGTTTTTACAAATATGTCAAGGCTGCTCAGTGATAGAAACAATGGACAATCAGCAAAGCTAGACTTAAACAGCAGTACTGGTTAACTTACCAAATGTCAGTGTATTTCTGTCTTTAACAACCGTCCTCTTCTTTACAGACTATTTCCTACCAAACATGAACTATCTCAAATCCTCACTATGCTAAATTTCTGTACAACAAAGACACCTCTCTCCCAGGTTTGGTCAACAATTTGTTACTGATTTAGATGAAGTTGCACATTTAAGAATGGCAAGAATGATGTGATAGATAACGGGTCTACCAAAAATCAAAAGCTTAATGTGACTTCAAAGAACTTCTGAGTAGTGGTTTAATCTAGATTGCAAAATACTCTGTTCACCAAAAGCTCTGGGGATTGCTAATGGAGAAGAAAAAAAATAGGATCCTGCTTATTGTTACCTAGAGTCTTGGCCCTTGAAAGCAGTATTTTCTTGTACCATACAAATATTGTACTTTTAAATAAGTTTCTAAAATCATAAAAACTATCAAACTGATAGTATTCTGGAGTTAAAAGATCAGACTTAATGTAATATTTAAAAATGTAATTTTAAGCCGGGCTCGGTGGCTCAGCCTGTAATCCCACGCCTTTGGGAGGCTGAGGTAAGTGGATTACCTGAGCCCGTGGATTCGAGACCCGCCTGGGCAGGCGAGACCTCATCTCTACAATAAATCAAAAAATTAGCCGGGTGTGGTAGCGCGCGCCTGTCATTCCGGCTACTCGGAAGGCTGAGGCAGAAGGATCACCAGAGCCCAACAGGTTGAGGCTGTGGTGGCCAGGAGCGGCCACTGCACTCCAGTCTGCGCGACAGAGTGAGACTCCAATTCAAAAAAAAAAAATGTAATTTTGAAGAATAACAATAACAGAACCTTTTTTTAGTTTTGTGGGTCTCTTAAAGTGCTTTTTATTAAATTATAATATATGTAACCTATATGTTCCATTGAGCAACAAACATTTGTGAACTTTATTACATGATATCACTCAGTTGAATATTCACTGGCTCATAGCCTTCTTCACAAAATATCATAGCAATTGTCTTATAGTTTATCTATGTGGGGAGAGGTAGGAGTTGTCAAGAGTGGACATGCAACCTAGGTTAGGTCCTAACAGGACAGACAAGAGGCAAATATGCAGTCCCCAGAATTTACTCCTGGCTCACCTTTTCCTCTCATCCTAAGCCCCTTCACTATCACTTTCCTCTGGCCAGCCCTTTATTCAAGTAGGAAGGCCGAGAGTTAGTTTCTACTCACATATATAAGTGTGTATGCCAAGGTTACTATTTCCTGGTGTGGAATCATATAAAGGAAATATCCCCAAATCTCATGACATCGTCTCTCTCTCTCTCTCTCTCTCTGCTGTGGCAAAAAGTCTTGGAAATACTTGTGAAAAGGAGAGAGGGAAACTTGGAGGTCAAGTCCTCATGGACATGCTCATTTAGGTAGACAGCACTTGAGATCAAAAGTCAGGAAGTATGTGTTTTTACCTGAAGCACAGGGTACATGTGGTTGCTGGCCTTTTATCCTGCTATCTCCAAATATCTCAGTGTGTTCATTTTTGTAAAATTTGTTAATTATATTAATAAAAACACATAATATATATGTTTAACAACAAAAAAAGAATGACAAGAGTAAACCGAGGCAGTTATGGCATTTATGGTAGTTATGGTGAAAATAATACTAGTTCTGCACCTAAGAGACCAAATTTCGAAAATTAACTACGATTTATTAGTTTTAAAACTTTGAAAAAAATTAAACTTCTTAGCCCACTTCTTTGTCTTTTAAAAGAGAAGAAAAACTATAATAATCAGTATTATATTACGAAGCAAAGTGTCTAGCAAATTGTAGGTGTTAAATAAAGACTTTTTCAATCTGTATAAAAAGATTCATAAACTTTGAGTCACCTAATAGAGCTAACATTTACCACAGAGACACGTACAGAGAAATATATTCTAGAGTAACAAAAAGGCAAAATAACAATATTATTATGTTCTGATGTTCTATTCATTTAAGAGGAACCTTTTAAAGTGAACCATATTCTAAGGGGTAGAAAAAGGGTTTTCTCAAGTGTGTTTCTTATTAATCATACCTTGAAAGCCCCAAATAAATGTTCCTTGGTTTAGATGCCCTGGTAGATGACCAAAAAAGTTTGACCAGTTATCAAAATCTACAAAAACTATATGAGTCATGGTTCGCAGGTAATCCAAATCTGGAAGCTCAACAATTTCTTCCTCTGAAAAAAGAGAGAAGTGTTAACATGAATTTAGTAAGAATTTGCCAAAATCATTCTAAGCTCCCACGTCTAAAAATATTAGAGGCCTAATATACAAAAATACTAACCTTGAATGTTAAACCTTGAATGTCTATCTAAAATTTTTTGTGACATCCAAATCTGTACATAACACAGTTTATACTTCAATCAGGAAAAAAAATTCTGAATATTTCATAAATTTGATTACATATCCTTGTTGCAGATATCTCCCATTGACCCTAAGGCTTTTAAAAAAGTCACTTATAGAAGGAATTTTTATTTAAAAATCAACATACTAGAAGAGCTATAAGACCAAGTTGTAAGGTTTTTAATAACTAAAATTTTGTACCATCCATATAAAATTCTAAGGATACCTATTAATAGCATTCCCAACACCAGAATCTGGTTCTTTTTCTAATCTAAGACTGATTTATTAGCAGCCCTCAGCTCTACAATTAAACACCCTAGAGAGCAGAAATAACTCTGCTGTCATAAAGTAATGCTAGAAAAAGGTGCCAGTGGCACTGCCACCTCCCACCATAAACACATCTTTCTTGGTTCTCTCTGGTTCTTCTTTCATCCTCCCTCATTCTCCAACTCTCATTCCCTTGCCCCTTACCTTGTTTCATACTTTTTCCATTTTGACAAGCCCTTGCTTTCCAGTGGTAGCAATCCAAACCTCAAAATGTATTATTTCAAAAGTGGATAGCTTCTACTCTAACACAGGTTTCCTCAAGTCTACGTCCAACCCCACTCCCCCATTTACCAGTCACACTATATATTTTGTTGGTAATCGTAGATTTAGATACTACATCTTCTATCAAACACAGACTGATACAAACTTCCAAAATAGGAAAAATAAGAGCAAAAGAAAAGCAGACAAGAACATAAAATGTTGTGACTAGGTAGTACATGATTTAACCCTTTCTCACTGAAAACATGCCATGACTAAAGGTGATGTAGAGATCCACATATGTTCTAGAGCAAGCCTGTAAAAATTCAATGGTTCATAAAAAAATTTTACTAGCTGAAATTTTCCACGTTTTCATTGTCTTCATACTATATTGTATAACTCACCGAGAGTTAATATTAATCTGAAAGAATATAGATTTAAAATTATATTCTAAACAAAACAAATTGTATTTCTAAACAAAATTTAAGAAATAACACCCTTCTAGACTTAATTAGCCCTATCAAATGGAAGAAAGAAAGTCAAGAGTAAGTACAAACAATGGAATTCACACCTCAATTTCCCTCCTGGTTTTTTGCTACCACTTTTAACTCTACTTCCAAAGGTTATTTTAACTGTATGTTAAAGCTTTGCTTCCAAGTAAATAGTAACAAAAACATGCAAGTGCTAAAATGACCTTTAAGATTTCTCACGCTAAAGGATAAGGCCAAACAGAAACAAAAATAATTCATTTGATTTTTTAGTGAACCTAAATAGGAAAAATCTAAATAACAGTAATATCCAAGATAACTTTCAAATCTAACTTTTGGAGAGACTATTAACTTCCATCATCTTCAAAATTCCCGCTCCTCTTGTAAAAGAAAAGCATATCTCAAATACATATTATTTAAAGCCAACATATACTCTTTGTGCCATTAAGTTTAGAAAGCGGATAAATGTAGTAGGAATACAAATCCCTAAAATGTATCTATCATAGTAATTAACTAACATATCATCAAGAAACTATCATGCTTCTCACTTCAAAATTGAATCCTTAACTTCCACAAAAAACGGTGGGTACACTGTATGTGGCTTTCTATATTAGCATATAAAATTTGCACAGAGTTGTAAAGCATTACCTATATTCTGACAGCTTAGGTCATTCTCAGCTCCTTTTTCCATCTCTACATTTTTGGAGTGGTTTACTGCCTGTTTCAGTTTTCTCTCTGTACGTACACTGGCAGTAAACTTGTACAGGCTTGATTTTTCAGATCCAAACTGAGCCACACTGGGTCTCTGTAAGAAGCAATGTTTTCTGTGGAAGTGCTGCTGTGCACTCTCAGGATCATGGAATGCTTTGGTGCAGGTGCCGCACTTGATGACATACTGCTGCTCCTCCCCGCCACTCTTTTCTTTGTGCGCTTGATGGATATGAGTGCTCATGTCAGCTAAATTCTGCGCTGTTGCTGAACACAAACTGCAGCGAAACCACAGTTTACCTTTATCCAGCATGATTTGGAGACATCTACTATAATCTTCCTTTCTGTTGACTTTACAGATGTAACTCTCATGGCAACCACAGGTTAACTGGTTACTGGTCTCTATTACTGGAAAATCATCCTCAGTTTTAATTGAAATTTCAGTTTTTTCTGACACAAACACATAATCTATGCTGTGGTGCTCCTTATAATGACTCAAAAATGCTTCTTCCACATTAAAGATAAGATCACAAAGTCCACAGAAGTATTTAACCTTTATCTCATTGTCATGCTCATCTTGACAATGTCGGTATAATGTTTCTATCTTATGAAAAGTCTTTCTGCAGTGTGCACAGCTGTATCTATGAAACTTGTGACTTGCCAAAGACATGCAGTGCTGTTTCACATATTCTTGGGAATCAAACATATCTTCACAAATTCGGCATTGCCACTTGCCCCTTGGAGGACTGTTTGCTGGGGAATGGTCAATAATAGTAATAGTTGAGGAAGGTTTGTTAGCAGTCAAATTACTCACCAATGTTGTAGAGGACGATGGCAAAGTTTCACCTTCTGCCTCATCCATCTCATAAAAATATCTGTGTCCATTATGAAATTCAGTCACATGTGCCATGATAGTATCTTTCCTTGTTAACTCCTTTTTGCATGTCCGACACCAGAAAAGGAAGTTATTTAAATGTGCCCCTCCATGAATCCGGCTCATGTGTAAACGAATGACCCCTGAGTCTTCACATACCTTCCCACAGACCACACACTTAAAACACATCGTGTTTGCTGAGAAAACGTGTTTTTCCACCGCATCTTCACTTAGGAATCGTTGACTGCATTCACAGAACCAAGTTTTAACTACTGACTTTTCTTTCTGGACACAAACGACACCTTCATGGCCTTTATCTTCTAAATTCATCTTCTTTTTTGGAATGGCACTGCAATCCTGTGAGCTAGATTCTTTAACCGACATAGTTCTTTTAAGTGATGAAAATTTTGAATGATCTAAATACACGTCAGAAGGATGTTTGTTCCCTTCGCTGCTGTGGCAGTAAAGTAAGACCGATTCTTCCACTGAGTTAATGACTCGGATTTTGTGTCCTGAATTCTGCTTATGATTTCGGGTACTGGTTTCATCTGCAAAGACTTGGTTGCAATCTGGACAATAACCTCTTAATATGAATTTCTCTGCAACCTGGGTAATGCTCTTCTCAGCTACAGCTACAGGACCGGCATTTCGACAACGAACTCTAAATTGGATAAACAAAAATAAACTCTTTCATAAGTATTTTTTAAATATATCGTCTCTGCATTTCACTGCAGGAATTATAAAATAACCAACATACAAATAAGTACTAAAAGATACTTTTTAATAAAGATGCAGATCATGTAATGATGTTCTATCATCTCAAAATATCTGAGTATTATCTACATTTTGTCTACTTCTAACCAAAATATAAAAGAGTAGATTAAACTAGATTAAAGATATTTTTTAAAATTCAGCCTGGTCACGGTGGCTCATGTCTGTAATCCAAGCACTTTGGGAGGCTGAGGTGAGAGGAGTGCCTGAGCCCATGGGTTCGAGACTAGCCTGGGCAACATAGTGAGACCCTGTCTCTTCAATAAATCAAAAAACTAGCTGGGCATGGTGGTATGTGCCTGTAGTTCCAGCTACTTGGAAAGCTGAGGCAGAAGGATCACCTGAGCCCAGAAGGTCGAGGCTGCAGTGGCTGTGAGCATGCCACTGTACTCTAGTCTGGGTGACAGAGTGAGGATCTGATTGAAAAAAAAAATTAGGCAAAATTTAGAATACTAAAATCAGTATTAAATATACTGATAGAGGACCTTAACAAACAAGAAAATTATTAGACTCTCCATAGTAATGAAACTGTATGAAGGAACACTATGGTAAGATTCTAGACAACTTTTTACTTATTCTTTAAGAACCGATTCATTTTTATACTACAAGTCTATAGTAACCCCAAAATAGACACACAGATAAATGGAACAGAACAGAGAACCTCATATAGGTAGCCACATACCAACAACCACCTGGTCTTCAACAAAATTGACACAAATATACACTGGGGAAAGAACACTCTATTCAATAAATCGTGCTGGGAACACTGGCTAGCCATATGCAGAATAAAATGGGATCCATACCTTTCACTATATACAAAAATTAACTCAAGATGGATTAAAGATTCAAATGTAAAAACTCAAACTATAAAAATCCTAGAAGAAAACCTAGGAAAAACTACTCTTCTGGATACCGGCCTAGGCAAAGAATTTATGATCAAGTCCTCAAAAGCAAATGCAATAAAGACAAAAACAGACAAATGACTTAATTAAATCGAAAACCTTCTGCACAGTAAAATAAAAAAATCAACAGACTAAATACACAACCTAAAGAATTGGAGAAAATATTTGCATCTGACAACGGGCTGATATCTGGAATCTATAAGGAACTCTACAAGAAAAAAAATAACCATAAATATGGACAAAAGACATGAACGAACACTTCTCAAAAGCAGATACAGAAGTGGCCAACAAACATATGAAAAAATACTCAACATTACTAATCATCAGAGAAATACAAATTAAAACTACAATGAGATATCATCTTATACCATCAGAATGACTATTATTAAAAAGTCAAAAAACAACAGATGCTGATGAGGCTGTGAAGAAAGGGAATGCTTATACACTGTTGGTAGAAATATAAATTATTACAATTTCTATGAAAAACAGTATGACAATTTCTCATGTACTAAAAACAAAACTGTCATTCACTTCTGCAATCCCACTACTGGGTATCTACCCAAAGGAAAGAAATACTTATATCAAAAAGATATCTGTACTCATATGTTTATAGCAGCACTCACAATAGCAAAGACATGAATCAACCTAAGTGTCTGTCAATGGATGACTAGATAAAGAAAATATAATACACACACACACACACACACACACACACACCATGGAATACTACTCAGCCATAAGAAAAGAATGAAATCATGCCTTCTGCAGCAACATGGATAGAACTGGAAGCCATCATCCTAAGTAAAATAACTCAGAAACAGGTAAAATACTGTATGTTCTCACTTATAAGAGAGTGCTAAACAACGGGTCCACAGGGATGTGCGGAGTGGAATAACAGACGCTGGAGACTTCAAAAAAGGTGGGAGGTTGACAGGAGAGTGAGGGTTAAAAATTATCTATTAGGTACCATCCTCACTATTCAATGACAGGTACACTAAGAGCCCAGACCTCACCACTAAGCAATGTACTCATGGTAATAAAACCACACCCCCTAAATCTACATATTTTTAAAATTTTTTAAATAATTTTTATTTTATTTATTTATTTATTTATTTATTTATTTATTTATTTGAGTTGGAGTCTCACTCTGTCGCCCAGACTGGAGTGCAGTGGCCACTCCTGGCCACCGCAGCCTCGACCTGCTGGGCTCCGGTGATCCTTCCGCCTCAGCCTTCCAAGTAGCCGGAATTACAGGCATGCGCTACCACGCCCGGCTGATTTTTTTTTGATTTATTGTAGAGATGAAGTCTCACTGCCCACGTGGGTCTCGAACCCGCGGGCTCAGGCAGTCCACTCACCTCAGCCTCCCAAAGGCGTGGGATTATAGGCTGAGCCACCGAGCCCGGCTTAAAATAATTTTTAAAAAACCTTTAAATTTTATGTCAGGAAAACAGCATGCCCATGGTTGTTTTTGCACCAAAGAACTAGGCTAAAAAAACCGCACACTATTCCACAAATTAACTAAAAATAAATCAACTGCTCTAGGGGAGGAAAAAAATGGAACAACTGTACTTCAACTGTTTTCCCATCACTACTAAACTCCAAAGGGAACAGACCTGCTATCATTCTATACACTTCATATATTTTTAAAAAGGAAAATTATACAAAATATGGTCTTTAATTATAGTAGAATTAAATTAGGTATAAGAAATAATAAAAAATCTAAATGCTTAAAAAGTCAATCCCTAAATGTAAGAAGTCAAACTTTAGAAGTTAACACATTTCTAATAAATATACAGGTTAAAGCAGAAATCAAAAGCGAAAAGATAACATTAAAAAAAATTTTTTAAACAGTGTTATGACACATAATTCACACACCACATAATTCATTCTGTTAGGATATACAATTTCCATTGTTTTTCCTATATTAACAGATAAGTGTAACCATCACTACAGTGAGTTTTAGAAGATTGTATCATGTCACAGAGAAACCCCAGATCCTTCAGCTCTCACCTCCCTCCCTTCCTTTCCTCCATGTTCCCCAACCCTAAGCAACCACTGAGCTCTAAGCTATGACTTTTCTATATAGATTTCTCTATTCTAGAATTTCATATTAATGAAATCATATAATAAGTGGATTTTTTGTGACTAGCTTTTCCACTTAGCATAATGTTTCTAAAATTCGCTGGGGTTGTAGCATGTATCAGTATTTCATTCCTTTTCATAACCAAGTAACATTACATTGTATGTACATATCCTTTCTTAAAAATCCATTTGTCAGTTGAGGGACATTTGAGCTGTTCTCACTTTTTGGCTATTATGGGCAATGTTCCTCTAAACAAATGTACAAGTCTTTGTGTGGAAATATATCTTCATTTATCTTACCTGCTGAGGAGTAGAAATTGCTGGGTCTTATGATAACTATGGTTGTTTAAGGAAATAAAGTATTTTAAGTGAATGAAAATGAAAATACAACTTACCAAAATCTGTGGAACGTAAGAAAAGCATTCTTGGAGACAAATTTGTATTTATAAATACAGTTTTTTAGAGACGGGGTCTCAATCTGTTATTCAGGCTGGAGGGCAGTGGAGTGATTATAGCTCACTGTAATCTTAAACTCTCCTGATTGGTTTGCTTGCTTGCTTGCTTATTTATTTATCCATCCATCCATCCTGGCTGGCTTACTTATTTTATCTATCTACACCTACCTATCTATTGAGAAGGAGTAGCACTGTGTTTATCTGTTTATTTATAGAGAAGGAATATCACTGTGTTGCCCAGCACGATCAAGCAATCCTCCTGCCTCAGCCTCCTAAAGTGGTGGGATTACAAGGATGAACTACCACATCTGGTCCTATATTCTTAAATGTTTATATTGAAAACAACGATTCAAAGTCAATCTAAGCTTCAACTTTAAGTTGTTAGGAAAAGATAAGCAAATTAAACTCAAAGTTTAAAGAGCAGAAATTAATGAACTAGAAAATGGGCAAACAACAGAGAACATCAGTGAAACCAAACACTTTTTTTTAAGAAAATCAACAAAAATGTGAGATAGATTATAGAAATAAAAGCTAAACACATCAAAGCTGAACTTAAAAAAAATAGACTATATTCTTTTTTTTTTTTTTGAGTCGGAATCTCACTCTGTCGCCCAGACTGGAGTGCAGTGGCCGCTCCCGGCCACCACAGCTTTGACCTGCTTCGCTCCAACGATCTTTCCACCTCAGCCTTCCAAGTAGCTGGAACTACAGGCATGCACTACCACGCCCGGCTAGATAAACTATATTCTCAAAGCAAGAGCAGACAAAGATATCTTAGACAAGACATGGAAAGTAAGACCACAAGAGTAGAAAATAATCAATAAATTATGCTTAATGAGATGAAATGCTTCTATTCATCAAGACATTACCAATAAAAAGGAACAATGTACTAAACAATATGGAATTAATCTCACAGATACCATGGCAAACACAAATCATACTAGACTCCTTCTTGATGACTTGATAAATTTAGCCTTACATTGAGATTTAATCTTTTCCATATATAAAATACTTTGCATTCTGGCTGACTTAAAGCCAATGTTCAATTTTTTTTTTTTTTTTTTGAGTTGGAGTCTCACTCTGTTGCCCAGACTGGAGTGCAGTGGCCGCTCCTGGCCACCGCAGCCTTGACCTGCTGGGCTCCAGCGACCCTTCCACCTCAGCCTTCCAAGTAGCTGGAACTACAGGTACGCGCTACCATGCTCGGCTAATTTTTGATTTATTGTAGGGATGAGGTCTTGCCAAGTTGCCCAGGCGGGTCTCGAACCTGCGGGCTCAGGCAATCCACTCACCTCAGCTTCCCGAAGGCGCGGGCCAAGGTTCCCTTTTAACCTTTATCTCTCCTACTGTCCCTCACAGAAGACAAACACTCAGAACTGTTAGTTTTACATTTGCAGCGATATCAGTATCCACTTTTCCCACACTTCTAAAAACTTCTCTTACTATGCTAAATTTGGTTAACTCCCAGGCAAATGTAGATTCTCATGTTAAAAAGAGAGAAACATGAAATAGAAAAGTGTTTGTTGAATCCTTTTACTGGTAAATAGCTCACCAAGATTCCCTAACAGCCTAGAACTAGACCCATACAAACCTGAAGTGGGCAGTGAGCTCCATGTGAGAGCGCAGTGTCTGGTGGCAAGCCACACATTTGACTTGAAATGGAACATCTTTGCACAGAGAGATCAAAAGTTTCTTTGCAAAAGATGGAAATGATATTGGATGTGCTATTCTCTTTTCATCTGAAAGATAAAATAAACCATAACTTGCAAAGTTTTTGGAATATAGTGTAAACCAACCATCCGCCCCTCTGCCTTTGTCAACATTGGTTAGAGTAAATAAAAAGATGTTTTTATCAAATATCATTATTCATTTATTTGATAAAAATCTAAGGGAAGCTACTTTCTAGCCTTAAGTATAAAGGATGCTTTACTCACACTCAAATTAAAATTTGAGTCTTAAATGCAGAGAAAACCCAACTTCCTAAATATCATAGATACAACAAAACATTACTTTAAATAAATGTTTTCTTTCTAAGTTTCTCTTTACTCCTCAAAGTAAGTAAACCTTATTCAAAGGTGCAAATAAATATTGGGAATCTTTTTTTAAAAAATAAGAATTGAGATGCTTTTCTACTTTCATGGTTCTAAAACTAAGATGAGGATAAGTAACATCAAAAATGATCAGAGAAGTATGGTGAATCAGCAAAGATTAAAGTATTTAATAATTTTCAGCAAAAGAGAGTATTAACATACCACCCAGTTTAAAACTCTGATGGAAATGATTTTTTCCAGACATATGCTTCAAACACTCATCCTTGCTTCTAAAAAGAAGGAAACAATTTGGACACGCAAAACACTGAATAATTTGTGGAAGAAGGGTGTTGTTATGTCCATCATCTGTGGCTTCCTAAAATATAAGACAAGGTCATATTACAGACAACTAAAATCAATACTAAATTTCTTAAAATCAACATTCAAACTTTTCCATTTATCATTTATTTGGAATATTGTTTTAACATGAAAACTTTTCTTCCTTGAGTTGAATTATGTAATGTTTATTATAAACGAGGTCCCATATGTACAATTTTTAGTTTTATTCATGAAAAATAAAGTTTGGCCATCTTTCTGTGATAATAAAAATACAAGCACATTTGCTTTCTATATATTTTTTGCTTTTACATATATATTCATATGTAATATTATATAAATGCATAAAAATGATCACATTACATATACTTTTTCTAATGTTTTGCTCTGTTCACCCTACCCTACAACCGATGCTTACAATATGTATCATTCTATAAATCTCTCCATGCTTAATCATTTACAAAGATATATAGAAATAAACATATGGGGGAATGTCATTATTTTGTAAATATTATCATCTTATAGACCCTTCTGCCTATTAGCTGTCTCATTCCATGATACCTAACGGAAATTCCTAAAAATCAACTGGTATCACTCTAATTCAAGCTGCTTAATGGTTTCAAACCCTGCCATGGTATGGATTTATTCAATTAAGTCAATCACTTGTTTCTAGGTGTTTTTTTCTCCCACCATAAACAGTGGTCCTTGAATATGTATCTTTACTTTTTTTTTTTTTTCATTATAGGAAGTGGTTCTATAGAGCTAAAGAGTGTATGAGAGGGGACCTCAAAAAAACAGGAATGACTTTTTGAAAGGTGGGCCCCTCGTAGTAATGGCTTCCCCTGCTAGGTAGTGTTCTAGGAACCCATCACCATCAGTGTACCAGCTAGCGTTGTTGTGAGACAACACATTCATTTCCGTCAATTTTCTTTTTTTGGAGATTTTTTCAAGCATTTGCCCATTTCATGATGGGTGATGTATGAGCACAGCTGCCAAAGAGCGCTGAGTGCGCAACAGTTTTTGACCCAAAATGGCATGACCCCATGCCCCACCCTCCCTATTCATCCAATCTGGCCCCAAGTGACTTTTTTTGTTGTTTTCCCAGATGAAAAAAGTCCTCAAAGGGAAATGTTTTGTGAAAGTGGGAGAGGTGGAAAAAAATTGCAGAAGCACTAAAAGGCATAAAAATTGACGTGTTCAAAAACTGTTTTGAGCAGTGAACAAAGCATCTCCATAGATGTCATCGTAAGGAGAATACTTCGAGGGTGACTGAAGTTAAAACATGTAAGAATACACAATTTTTTATAAATAAGTTTCAGGTTTCTTGGAATCCTTTTTGGACATAAAGAGATATTATATGACTCCTTTTCAAAAGGGCTCTACCAATTCATAAATCTCTTAGTACTGAATGAGCCTGGCAGTAACAGGTATTATGGATCTTTTTCATTTTTGCCAGTCTGACAGATGTAATACTCATTGTTTCTTTAATTTGCATTTCCAGTCTACAAGTGAGTTCGAGCATTTATTCATGCACTCATACATTTGTTTCCTATCCAGAAGTGTTCTGTAGATAAGGGGTAGTAGCTCACACGTGTAATCCGAGCAATTTAGGAGGCTAAGGCGGGAGTAGCTTGAGGCCAGGAGTTCGAAACCAGCCTGGGCAACATAGCAAGACCTGGTCTGGACAAAAAAAAAATAAGAAAATTAGTCGGACATAGTGGTGCACACTTGTAGTCCCAGCTACTCTGGAGGCTGAGGCAGGAAATCGCCTGAGCCCAGGAGATCAAGGCTGCAGTAAGCCATGATTGTGCTACTGCACTCCAGCCTGCAAAACAGAGTGAGATCCCGATAAAAACAAAAACAAAAACAGACATGTTCTGTGAATTTCTTATTCATATCCTTTAGCTTGATTTTTCAATTGTTTTGTTTTCTCCCCTTCTCGTCAATTTGTATCAGTCCTTTGTTCTTGACATTTGGTCTCACTTTGCAAATACTTTTCCAAACATTTGTCTATTAATTTTGTTTTTTATGGATCACTTTTTAAGCTTGATACAGTCAAATAGGTATGTCTTATCTAGCTTCTAAGTTTCCAGACCTGGAGCCTCCTCTATCCTAAAATTGGAAATTCAAAAAGTGTATATTTATATGTGTATGTATAAACGTATGTATTTGTTATCAACATAATTTAACTTCTTGTTAATGGTTTTTAGGGTAATAGCCTTAAAAACTGTACTGTGTCTTCTTAAATTTTCTACCATTAATACTAGGACTATTAGAATAGTTGCATAGTGCACATGAGATGGAACAGGAGGAGGGATAAAAAATTTATTATTTACACTGAGTCCACATAAAGCATCCCACAAGGATTCTGAACATGTTTATCCACTTAATCCTTTTAACAAACCCACAAGTTACCATTTTCATTAACTACACACAAAAAATTGAAATGCAGATAAACCAAGCAAATTCCCACTTTCCCATCCCCATGCAAGTTGCACCCCCAGAGGAGACAAACCTACCACTAAAACCCAGTTTTACATCTTTGGCTATAAATTCTATGCTGTTATCACTACTCCCTCCTGCCCCAGCTCCTGTTTTAACTTGGTAAGTGCCACACAGGAAAAATAAGACATTTTTATTCCAATTAGAAGGTTCTAAATGATAAGAACAATAAAGACATTTACTAACTACCAATTTATACACATTTTTCCTACTTGAAAACCCCAAACTAATAAAATCATTTAGTTTGTGGGTTATCAATGAATTCAATATAAAGCTTGTTTAAATGATTTGTTCACTGGAACCAAACTGTGATTCTACATAAAATTTTATTAAATCGTATCTATTACAAAAACAAGGCATAAGGTAAATGCCTGCTACAAATTGAAGGAAAGAATGGGAAATAAGATATCTGGTAAGTTATATGCAAATTCCTTTTTTTTAAAAAAAGTTTTAAAACAAAGTTTATTTTAAAAAAGGAGAGAGAAAAGAAAGGGAGACATGCCAGGGTTAACATGGGCAAAAGAAACCACCATGTTATCATATTCCTGGTAACATTAAAATAAAATACATTATACAAATTTGTGTATCAAAAAAAGCAGGACCACAGTAACATAGCACCTTCATACCTACTAGGATAGCTAAATTTAAAAAGACAGTTAAGTGCTCGCTTCAGCAGTACATATACTAAAATCGGAACGATACAGAGAAGAATAGCATGGCCCCTGTGCAAGGATGACATGCAAATTCGTGAAGCGTTCCATATTTTTAAAAGAAACCATCAAGAGAGAGGAAGACAGCCCACAGAATGGGAAAAAATATTCATCAACTGTATATCTGACAAAGGCCTAACATCTAGGATCTACAAGGAACTCAAATGCACTGAAGGGGAAAAAACAAATAGCCCCTTTAAAAAGTGGGCAAAAGACATGAATAGACACTTCTCAAAAGAAGATATATGGGCAGCCAACAGACACATGAAAAGTGCTCAGCCTCACTCATCATCAGAGAAATGTAAATCAAAACCACATTGAGATACCAACTAACCCCTGTAAGAATGGCCATCATTAATAAAACAAACAACAACCGATGCTGGCAAGGATGTGGAAAAAAAGAAACGCTTCTACACAGCTGGTGAGAATGCAAACTTGTACAACCTCTCTGGAAAACAGTCTGGAGATTTCTGAAAGAACTAGAAATTGACCTTCCATATGACCTAGCAATTCCCCTGTTGGGAATATACCCGGAGGAACTCAAATTATTCTGCGAAAAAGATACCTGCACACATATGTTTGTTGCAGTTCTATTCACAATAGCAAAAACATGGAACCAACCGTGTTGGTTTGCCCATCGAAGCTGGACTGGATAAAAAAAAAAATGGGGTACATATACACAATGGAATATTATGCAGCCAAAAAGAAGGGCAAATATATGGACTTTGCAGCAAATTGGATGGATTTGGAGTTGTTCATACTCAGTGATTTATCACAGAAACAAAGAACTGAGTTCCATATGTTCTCACTCATAAGGTGACCTTGAACAATTATAATGCTATAAGAAAGTGACTGCAGTAGTGGAAAACTGTCAGGGAAGGGGGGGTGGGACTGGCAGTTGAGGGAAACTGCTAGGGGAAGGAGGGGCATACCTCATCAACAAGGGTACCTGCATGATCAATGTTTGTATACCTAACCCTGAATTGTACCCCACATCTGTATAATAAATAAATAAATTAAAAAAAAAAATAGCCGGGCTCAGTGGCTCAGCCTGTAGTGCCTTTGGGAGGCTGAGGTGAGTGGATTGCCTGAGCCCACGGGTTTGAGACCCGCCTGGGCAGTGAGACCTCATCTCTACAATAAAAAAAAAAACAACAAAATCAGCCGGGCGTGGTAGTGCACGCCTGTAATTCCGGCTACTCGGAAGGCTGAGGCGGAAGGATTGCCAGAACCCAGCAGGTCGAGGCTGCGGTGGCCGGGAGCGGCCACTGCACTCCAATCTGGGCGACCGAGTGAGACTCCAACTCAAAAAATAAAAATAAAAATAAAATAAAAAATAAAAAAATAAAAAGACAGTTAATAATAAGTGTTAAAAAGGATGTGAAGAAATTGAAGCCTGCATGCGTTGCTGGTGGGAAAGTAAAATGGTGCACTACATTAGACAGAGGTTCAGTAACTTGTCAAGAACATACAGTTTGGCAGTTCTCCAAAAATTTAAACAGTTACCATATGACCCGATTGTTTAACTCATTAGAGTTAAAACATATGTCCAAAGACTTGGATGTTTGTTTATAGAAGCATTGTTCATAATAGCCAAAAAGCAGAAACAACCCAAATGTCTACCAGCGTATGAGATGATAAATAAAATGTGGCATATATCCATACAATAAAATATTATTTGGCAATAAAATAGAATATGAATAAGCCTTGAAAACACTATGGCAAGTGAAGGAAGTGAACCACAAAGACTGCATATTGTTTGACTCTATTTACAGGAAATACCTAGAATAGATAAATCCATTGAGACACAAAACAACTTAGTAGATGC